CCTGAAGTAATAAAAGCTGAAGTTTCGGGATTTGGCACTCTTTGGGAGGAGTAGTTTCGGCCGTAGAACAATTTGCATTATATTTTTGAAAATACAGTAGTCTCCGCCTAAGATCCCGGTGCTTGGGAGCAAGGAAATGCGGGATCTTAACCGATGAACCCAGGGAAGAATCTATGGTGACCCATGTAAAGGCTCACAATCGGTAAAATGGTCTCCCTCCACTCTACAATGAACTGACGTGACCGCTTGGTGGGTTTATGACGTATGGCGAGCAAAGAGTGGTTAACCTTGATGACCTATCACGGTGCATAGTGGCATGAGGCGTGCCATTTTCACTTATTATCCTATTATGAGTCTCAAGATCTACGCTTATCCAGTTGCCCCTCCTCTTTACCTGTCAAAAATGTATAGCTTTCCATCTCTGACCGAGTCCCCCCCCCCCTTCCTTTGTCGTTACACACCATTACGTTGTGAACCCACCAATTAAAATTCAGTCTGTCTCGAAAATTCGGGAGTAGAGACAACTGCTGCAATGGTCAAGGAAGAGTTCACAGTTCGATGTGATCCTGCCTGGAGCGAACGTGTAGGCTCTACCCACCCAGCGAGTGATGTAAGTTTAGGTGGCGAGCTCAGGTGTGAGTGCAATGCGTGGGGAAAACAAACGTGTCGGTCAGTTCACACCCCGGTGTGATCCCGTCTGGGGCAAACATTGTATCGCTTCATCGAGTTTTACAACGTGTATGTGATCACATTCACGATAGTGGTTGATCTTTGACGCGACGGACAGTTTATTGATCTCAACTTTTCATTCTAGGTTGATCGGCTGTGCCCGCCCGGGGTTTTGTTTAGCAAATTATGATCTGAAATGCGGGATCTTAGCTGAATGTAGACCATCAGAGCGGGATCTTAGGGGTGACTTTTGTATAGTAAAAATTCTGTTTTCCTAAAACAACGGGATCTTAAGCGAACCGGGATCGTAAGCGGTGGGATCTTAGGCGGAGACTACTGTATATGCATCTATCTATGGCCTATCCCCGCATTGGACAAGTGTCTCGTTATTTCAGGACTCGTTATAAGAAGACTCCACCGTAGTGAAATTAGCAGGAAAATGACTGTTTAAGTTTGATTACTCGAACAGCTAAAGAGAAAGAGTTAAGTCCTTGAAAACTGAAAAAACGATATATTTTGTGCCTTTCATCAAAGCTTTCAGTAAAATTCACATGGATTTGTTTTTGAATGAGAACATAAAGTGGTTTGAGATTTTTTTTTTAATCGATAAAAATCGCCTGGTGCCAATCGCCTAACAGGCGCAAAAATGCCTGCTTCTCCAATTTTACTATTTTGATGAGCGCCACATGCCCTTCCAGACAGAACGTCAACATGGCTTTTGCGTATTCGTTGCTCGTCCGCATTTCCGGTGAAATGCCAAACCGCGAGTTTAGTTACATTCTCACTTTTGCAGCCGTGTGTTTACTTTTGCTTAGACAACAGGCAACAGGAGCATCACAGTCACCTCCACCAACTCCCTTGTTGACGTACATCATGGCGCACAGCAAAAGATGTAAGATTGTGGTTTATTTAACATTATTTTTACAAGGGGAACACGAGGCAAAGCCTTCTTTATGCATGTAGGCCATCTTGAGGGAGGCATTGCGCTGTCAAGAGCGACATGCTCGCAGCTAAAGGGATTTGAAAACTAAAAACAACATGCATGTAGGCCATCTAAATCTAGAAAAGACCTGAAATCTTGGCATTCCCTCGAAACCGGGGCTTTGTTACTGTGCATCACAGCGAGGCAGCGAAGACTGATGAGACTCACGCACTAGGCTAGATCTAGCCTAGTTACCCTTGTAGCGAAAGACACGCTCTGTCTGTCCATCTGCCTCTTTCCCTCTCTCCCAATGTTTGGACAGTTTGGTAACAAACGAAAGTCCCCATTTGGTATTTTTGTAACATGTATTACTACATCTACTAAATTCTTCTTCTTCTTCTCCTCCTCTTTCTCCTGCTTCTTCTATGAGCGCTTCAAACCCACTGTGAGAAGACGGTCAAAGGCGTGAGACACTGCGATGCCTCATATAGACATGTTTACACCGCCACCGGGACAAAGTCACAGGTCAGTGAGGACAGCATATTTTCGATCTGGACTTCTACCTTTTCGGCAACGTATCTAGATATATTAGATCTAAAAGTCTAGATCTAGATTAAGGCCTACTGCTCGGAACAGGCTGAGGTGATTAACTACACAGCAAGAATGAATTAGAGCACATGTCATCCCACAAGAAACATTTGCCACTCTTGAACAGGAAGATGGTGATACCATCTGGCTTTTTTCCATAT